AGGCTCAAATGATAAAGTGATTTTGAACGACTTTTGGTTCCCGGCCGGAGTAGTCACCGTAACTTTCAGAGACATTGTGACTATCTATGATACGATCTTCGCAAATAATAATATACACTGATAAATACTGAAAATTTCAATCGAGTTCTCCTTCATTCATTAAATTGACGTTGCTTCCCCCTCTTTCAAGTTTAGACACCCCCCTTCCTGGAATTCTCAACCCCTCCTACGAAAATTATTGCGCAGTCCTAACCTTCAACGATTGACATTACGTCAAAACCTCAGGTGCTCGGTACATGTGCAGAATCACTCAAATGTGCCAAAGCTTTTTGTGAATGTCAATCAACGTGTATTCATAGCTTTATTCGTATTTATTTCTAACATATTTTTAGTCAGAAAGTAGTGAAAATCACTTATTTCTTTCAACTGAGCATGCGCGCTAGATTCGATGGTGTCTCTTCAATTGATTGACACAATCTAATCAGCTAATAAACGCCCGAGAAATCACAAAAGTGAAATAATMTATATGTTTGGGGAGTGTCATAATTTCTTCTATCCTATTTAAAAGAGGGCTACATTTTTTCTTCGCTTTCCTARGGAGGACCCCCCAATAACTCCCTTAACCCAGATTACAATATTTTATGGTTTTTAGTACAGTTTTATTGATCTTTTCTTACTCGTGTTACCATAGAAATCAAGTATGGCATCTAAACCGGTTGTCATGGTAATTGGTGCAACTGGTACGATTGGCTTCGCGACCATTAGTTCCTTAGTGTCCGAGCACAGTAGTRCTTTCGATATACAGGCAGGCGTTCGTGATCCAAAGAAAGCTGAAGACAAGTTTAAAGATCTAAAAGGTTAGATACTGGACTTGTTTTTACAGTCAATAGTCGACACTTCCCTCCGCCATATTGAAAGGTAACCACGCCTTTGCATCAAAACACAGTGGCCACTATTCACAGCTTGCGATGTCTACCAATGTTGACGKCCGTTGATTTGTTGATTTCTGCAAGTAGAATAGATTTCTGAACCTTTGACGTCACTACTTGGTTTTCAATGCATAGTAGGATCAGTTTCTAGAGAAAGCAAAAGAAATCCGCAAACATATCCTACAATGCATTGCGTGTACAGTAAAAGAAAAAACTATTCTTTTTCATTCGCTCGATAAATTTGATTTCGTGTATATTTCAAATCAAGGAGCTGTCAAAATTGTCCAGGCCACAATGGGTGACAAAGATTTGCCGAAGGTCTTTCAAGGTGTCAGTCGGTTATTCATCGTAACACCTCCGACTAAAGACCGAGCAGAACTTACCATAGCAACGATAACGTCCGCCAAACTAGCAGGGGTGCAAAGCATTGTGGTCGTCAGTGCTTGTGCASCAGATGTGAAACTGGGATTCATGATYGGAGAACAATTCAAGCAGATCGAGGAGGCAATCAAAAACCTTGATATCCCATCCACCATCGTTCGTTTACCAGGCTTTCTTGAGAACTATTATGGTTTTCGAGRCAACATCATAAACCGCTCCTGTATTTGYATGCCCGTGGATCCTAACAAACCATACACGCCGGTAGCAGCCATTGATGCTGGTAAGTTATAGTAGTTATAATTATTTGATGATTGTTTACTACCTTAAGGAGAGCCSAGGAGATCACTGCTGTAAATTC